TCCTGTTTCCAGGCTTGAGGGTCTTGCTTCCAAGCTTGAGGGTCCTGCTTCCAGGCTTGAGGGTCCTGTTTCCAGGCTTGAGGGTCTTGCTTCCAAGCTTGAGGGTCCTGCTTCCAGGCTTGAGGGTCCTGTTTCCAGGCTTGAGGGTCTTGCTTCCAAGCTTGAGGGTCCTGCTTCCAGGCTTGAGGGTCCTGTTTCCAGGCTTGAGGGTCTTGCTTCCAAGCTTGAGGGTCCTGCTTCCAGGCTTGAGGGTCCTGTTTCCAGGCTTGAGGGTCTTGCTTCCAAGCTTGAGGGTCCTGCTTCCAGGCTTGAGGGTCCTGTTTCCAGGCATGAGGGTCCTGCTTCCAAGCTTGAGGGTCCTCTTTCCAGGCTTGAGGCTTCATCATTTTACGCTTGCTCAAAGGTCTTTCAATTTCATTTGAAGTATCTTTACTCAATTCATCAAGAAGTTTCAACAAGTCAGAATCCTCTGAGAGATCTGCAAAACAATGTTATCAATGTTATCGGAATTAACTTTCCCTGTTTTGGCTGATTTGAGARGATCATTGCCGGATTCCTCCAAGTTGTATTTTTTTAAATAGGTGTGCCAGGAAAAAGCCGAGAAACAGTGATTCCGAAATTCAACATTTATTAGAAGTCCTATATTAAGGTATAAATTCTCTTTTACGTGAGAAGTGGTACATTACTTAGACGACACTTTGCTACTTCATTCGGGTAACGGGGTAAGAACGATCAAGATCAAAATGATAAATCTGTAAATACGCCAATAAATTAAAGTTAAACGGAAGGTGTCTCGCGAAGATGACTTTAGACGTCAACAACACTATCCYTTACGGCAAATACCTGTCATCGATCACTTGCACTTTTAATTGATTATTAATTGAACTGAGGGTCATTCATCAGTTGTTGAATGAGACCTAACGGACAATGATCGCGCCAATTTTTCAAATCGAGATTCGTCCCTTAAAACWATGTAAAAAATYTTAAAATTCCTTTCTGTTTGTATATTTTAGATAAAAGCTAGACCTGTCTCAGTGCTCATAGAAACTATAGGCGCCTACATTTGCCCCATTTATAGATTTAAACCACAAACCGACTGGTCAACTAATAATCCTTATTGAGCTCTTAACATCATCTTATGTCTATCATCTTATAGAATAGTTCCAGTGCACCGTTTACGAACTACTTGAGGTACACCGTCGAAAGTAGGTCTCTTTGTGCAGTACTATCATTTATACTGTACCGTTATAATCTGATATGGTTTCCCCGATTTATAGTTGAAGACTGTTCGGGAYCCGCGGGGAATATCATGACAAACTTTAAAACATGTRTATAAAGACACGTACCTGCAACAGCCGCACCAAATACGAGCTGAAAGAACAATATGCACTGAAGTAGGGACATCTTTGCTTTGTTTGATTAGAGATTTTGAGTTTAGTTGCTCTGTCCGAGTCGTTSAGATAACTGAAGCTGGAAGAGTGAGAAGAGCCTTTTATCTGYCAATGATCAACGTAAATTGATACATCATTAAACATGCCAGTTTGAATTTTTGGCGCTAAAATATATGACCAACAACGACATTTGGTCAAACGGGGCTCTACATTACAACATACAGAGTTATCCCATAGAGACTCTACATGTAGTGTTGTGAAGAGACCTGCTCAAATTTTGTCTGAGAATATGACACCTSCAATAATAAAGATGACTTTTCTTTGCTAAATAAACACACACTAATAAGTCATCATTTCTATTTGAGGGTGATCCATTATTTTGAGGGTGCAGGGTAGTGAGAAAATGAGGGAATACAGCACAGCATTGTATCTTTTCTATGARTTCTAAACTACTTTTTTAACGATAAAAACCCTAACTATAAAAAATCAATGCTGTTATAACGGATTAGGTATAAGTAAAATGATATAGTRTTATTCTTCGGGATCCCACTGTTTCCTGTGACGTATGGAATGTGTATTCAGTTAAAAAGTGACATATGTGATGGACAGAGTGCATTTTCAGTTATAAACCACTTCACATCTGGATTTATAGATCATCCATTCAATGGCAAGGATAATATTTAACACAAAGAGCTGAAGAAGCATTATAAATAGTACGCACATTCGAATCTCAGACTTATTATTACTTTCTTGAAAGTTCTTTATGGAATAAACTCCCTAGCCGCACCACAAAGTGTTCAACTCTTAAGTCCTTCAAAGCACATATCTGGGAACTTGCAAAAAACAAACTCTTTGCTTCTAAGGAACTTAAGACTCAAAGACTTTTTTAACATTTCTTTTACTTTTATATATTTACTACCCTATGGGCCAGATTGGAAAAAAGCTTCGCTTTATCTGTTTATCACCCAATAAAGTTTATTATTATTATTATTATGGCGAAGTTTAAGCATCAACAAAAATGATCACAAATAAATGGTGTTGGAAAGAAAAATGAGGCAATGAGTCATCACCATTGATTTCATTTCTAGAAAGTTCTTTGTTCCTGGATATCATTCATACCCCACGCTAGAAACGTTTTGCAAGCAGCTTTCCAATGCGGAAAATAAAATAGATTGACTGATGACTGGGTAGACTAACAGTGATACCTGCAGTGTCGCACTCATGACCCAACATACCGTCCKATGCACGTCACGGAATCAAAATATTTTTTTATAACTGACTTGCGTAACTGTCTAACCGCGAGTGTTAGAGTTCATTACAAAGAATTGAGCGCCAATTTAAAATAAGACGGTTAATTCGGTGAGAGGACTTCAGCCGGAAGGTTACTATGATAGCCTTAGTTGTGCGCTTAGTTCGCGCTTTTTTCTTTTATTCGTCATTATATGAAGAGGGCGGGTAATCTTCGAGTTACGCGCTTCGAGTTACGCGCTTCGAGTTACGCGCTTCGAGTTACGCGCTTTTCGAGTTACGCGCTCGACCACGCCCACATTTGCCTCGGCCACGCCCAGCGCATAACTCGATGCAACTATCATATATTAGTTTCTTCGAGTTACGCGCCTAGCGCGTAATTCGATGCAACTAATGTATGTTAGTTGCATCGAGTTACGCGCTTTTAAATGGAAATCAATTTAAATGAACAGAATCACGCATTTTCTTCACAAAGTCACTCAACAATGTTTTTTTTGAATATATTTCTATAATTGGAGGTGACAGAACAAAAAGGAAAACATTAATGACTTTTCTTCGGACGTTTGTATCATTGATGCATGATATCAATGGAGATCAATGTGGGTTGTGCACTGACATCCGATTAATGATACGTCGAAAGCCCCTCGTGGGTTAATTGAGGACGGACACAGAATTTAGCAAATAAAAATTAACTTGCATTGTGAAGATAAAGAGAAGCCATTTCTGTTGGTAGATTTAAAAAAGACGTACATATTGGTGTACGTGATATTCCAATTTATCTTTCTATCAAAGGTCGAATGATAGACGACCCTTACATCATAGAAGTATCTATTTCATCAATGTGAACGCAATAAGTTGTTGTGAATAGTGTATTAAAAATAACTGAATGTGAAATATTAGCTAAGCTATAACATATTTACCTATAGAGTACTCACAAAAATACTTTTTTATAGCGGAGATACAAGCGATTTTATGGTCGGCTTACCACTGAAACGCTTTGTAATTTGGGCTCGTTCATAACGAAAAGAACGCGACCAAATTTACAAGCGTTCGTATGTAGTCACCCGACGATAAAATCGCTTGTATATCCGCTATAAAAGACACTATAAGAGTCTCATATTGAGCAAGGATGCATTAAATCATGCACTTTCAGAATATGGAGACCAAATTTAAAAACTCAAACATTTTCAAACATTTTCGAGCAGCCTAAAAGGGCTACCATTTGTAATTTTAAAACTTGACATATTTCATATTCTATATATATTTTATATATTTTGCTTCAAAAATAAAAGCCGTAAAAGCAAGGAGCTCTTTTTTATATTGATTTTAATTTAAAAGCGCGTAACTCGAAGGCACTAAGC